ATATGATGATAAAAGGTATAATATGATGAATAAATAATAAATCAAAAACATATCATTGCAATTATGGTTAAAACAAAAAATATTAAAAACAATCGTAAAGAAAAAACAATATTGCAAAGTACATTTAGGTAATGTTAAAAAGCTAAAATCAATGTATATGTATATGAACTTGTGCCAACTTAAACCAAAATATATAATTAATACATATATACTGTATAATACCTGGGAAAATACATAAAGATACAATCTGATAACATCGAACAAAAAAAAGTATAATAAGTACAATAAGTAGCCAAAAAGCCATTTTATACAATGTAGCAGAAATAAAATCATAATAAATTGCATACTTACAAGTTCAAACCAAATACCTAAAATGCTTATGAAAACAATAAATGACACAAATAGACTGCTTCAGTATTTTTAAATCCACCCTCAAAAGTGTAATTATAAATCAAAGTATAAATAGAAACAGAGACCATCAAAAAATACGTAACAAGAATCAGCATAATATCTCGATCCTTTATAACTCAATTATGATATGATAATAAGCTAAATAAAAAAATAATACTATGATCATAACCAGTATATATTGAAAAAGTCCAGTAACTTGAACATGTGCGATATACATCCAAGAAATAATCGAATAAGTTAAAAATATAATACAAATATAAGTAATTTATTACGCCAATGTGATTTAGACATGTACCAAACAAAATTCATGATGGCTTCCATGGATGGGTTATAATAGAAAGCATCATTATTTTCAACAGTTTCAAGTTTGTCTATAAGGTTAAGAAAAGGATTAGTATACTCTTTTCGATCTAAATATTTGCCAGGAAAAAAAATATCTAATATTCTCGAATATGCCCATAATCTTCTCGAATATGCCCATAATCTTCTCGAATATGCCATTTTCTCTTTTATCCAGCAATAAGTTTTTATTTTTTCTATTTGTAAAATCAATTAAGAGTGCCACTCGAATATTAGGAATTATATTATTGCCATATTTAAAATTTAAATTGGAATTAATAAAATAAAAACAATGATAAAATCACAAGCGTCTTACCTAATCACTATTGTTTCCAAATTAGAGTCTTGTGGAATCAATTGTGTTATAGGTATAAAGACTTTCAAAAAATTTTTGATATTTGGTTTAATTTCAAGAAATTCAAAAAAAGATTTATCCAACTCCTTGTTACAAAAGCAAGATTTATAAAATAATAATTGAACATAAGACTTATAAAATTCTGCATTAAAAGATAAAGATTTGAGATGATTGATACATAAATTAACAGTTAAATATAGTAAAGTTTGTAACTGACTATAATTTTTATTTTTTCACTTATGATATCTTCATATAATTTCGGTAACAGTAATCATCCATCCGATATCTTCTTTGGCCTTATTAGAATTATATTCTAAAAAAAATCCTAGAAAGACCGGATGTTCATCTAATATGAATAGTAAATTAATATCTAAAATACAGTACATTTAAAATTCACTAATTCAAATTGAATATACGAACTTGAAAATGCTTTAGAAATAGTATTTTCTTTATTTTTCATGAATTATATTGTGGCATGTGAAGTGATTTTTCATGTAATATAAATTCATCTTGTTGTTGGAATTTAAAATTGTAATTTTCAGGATTGCCTTCTTCATGTTTTTCACCAAATAATATGTATTTTATAAGTGAATATTCTCTCACATCAATAAGAATGCTCATTAAATCAAAGCAAAAGTCCAATAATCGCCAAGAAATCGGGTATAGCGTTAACCCCTCTAGCTCACCCACAAAATTTTTTCCAGTGCCAATTAGATTGAAGGATTAGGTGTAACATGAAAATTATGCCTTTTTAGATACTTAATATAGACATCTCTGTTTTTCAAACTCTGCTTATTTCTCTTAATATTTTTATAAATAAAGAGTGGATGTTTTTATATTGTTCTTATCTAAATTTGGCACCTTTTCTGATAGTGAATTATTATAACTATAGAATCTACCCTAACTGCTAACTCTAAATTTAACAAAACAGCTAGCAAAGATGCAAATTTTACTACTGATGTACTAAACACTTGATTATTACTTTTATAAATGAGCAATTATATGCATGTTTTAGATGATGAACATTGAAATTTGTACTTAACTAATTGTGCGAAGTTTGCTAACTAATTTTGCTAACTAAATTTGCTTCTAATGACCACTGGCTTTGTTTTACTGTACATATACACTTAATTTTTTGTTAAAATTCTCTTATATCGTTAGTTTTATAATTACCATTATCAATAATAGGGGTCATTGCAGTTTTATATGCACGAGATTACATTTCATGCATATAGCATTCCAGAAATATTTTTTTATCTTGATGGGCTATTACTTTTTTTTGTTTTTTTTCTTTTAATAATGCGATCATACACATGTAACAAATCTTTACTTGCGTCACCACTAAAACTTCACTATCACGTGACAATAAAATAGCGCACAAAAAAATCTTAAACGTTAGCAAGACATACCGTAAAATTTCATTAGAGAAATTTTTTGAATAGAGTACAAAAGATGGTATATTGTTTAAATTTTTGAGAAATACGCGATTTTTGAACATCAAAGCGAGACTCGCTATTGGAAAATTATGTAGATCCTCATGTGATACACAGGGTAGTTCATGTAACATACTGGGGTAGTTCATGTAACAAACGGAGGCTTAATTGATCTGATACAGTACAGTCATCCTTTTCTACAGTCACCTCCTATATAGTCTATAGTCACACCCTCTTTATAAGCACCATTTTTTGAAAAATTATTGGCAATTTATTTATTAAAAAAAAATTTATATAATCACAATACTAATAAAATTTTATAATACATCTTTTTTATGTAAAACAAATCACGTGATTATAGAGAAAGACGACTGTATTATTCATCACATAGTTTAGAAACGTCCCAAGTAGTTTAATAAATAATACGTATTATTCATGTTGATTCTGAATAATGCTCATACCCTATCTCTGATCAGGAAAATTATAAAATGCATAGGCACTCGTATCTACTTGGCCATATCGAAGTGGATATCCGATATATTATTCCTACCTACCACTAATAGCACTGGCAGATTATAAATTTAAAAAGTTTTGTCTTGGCATCAATGTGCGCTATTCATATGCATGCCCATTAATGATGCCTGACGGGTGACGTAACCCTTTCGTCATGACGAATGACGAAACCATTTCGTCAGGCAACTTCGAAATGACGAATGACGAATGACG